GGGCGTGGGCAGGGAACAGGGGAATGGCTTGCCTTGCTGTGTATGTGTGTTTGTGGGGGACACACACAGCTTACTAGCACACACAAGGGTGGCTCCATAGGACCCTGCAAGGAAAGGGAACCAAACAGGATATCAGGACAAGTGCTCAGGAGACCAGCTGATTCTGCAGGAAGCTAGCATCTAGTATAAACAATGTAATCAATATTTAAAATAGCGTAATAACCTTTTCACTTTAGTATCACTTTAATTTTAAAATATGACAGGACCAAGACCTCTAGCTGAATTGGTCAGAGGTTGCCTGAATTTAGACCACTGCTGCCCTGTCAAATGCCTGACCTTACATACGCTTTATCAACTACAATCCAGAATCATATAACACATCCATGTATATTTCAATTTTTCCTGTTTTTGCTAATTAATGATGGTTTGGAGCTTACATTGGCTGAAGAGAATGGCACAGAAGCGAGGAAAGAGGACTACATGCTGCTAAATTACACTGTTCCTTTTTCTTACATGGGCAAAGGAAATGGTCAGAGACTGGGGTGCAGACTTACTAGAGGAGATGGCCAGAGACTGTGGACATGCTTCAGGTGTGGTCGGAACAAGCTGTAGGAGACAGTAAAGGTCCCTACACACCTTACGATAATCGTACGATAATTGCGGGAAATACCGCGATCGTACGATTATCGTAAGGTGTGTGAAAGCCGTGCGACCTCTACTACTGTAAGGTCGCACGACTCTAAAATTACGAACATGTTTGCAAACCCGCCGAGCATCGTACGATGTTCGGCGGGTGTGTAGCATGTTCGTAAGATAAAAGCCAGACAGGCCGGTGTGTGCAAGTCTACACAGCCCGTTCGGCATTGCGGTCATCGGAAGCCCGCCCCTCAGGGGGCGTGGCTTGTGATCATCGCAAGTACGATCTGCCTATGGAAGATAGGCAGATCGTACGTTTTTTTAAGTACCTTACAACCATCGCAAGACAAAAGTCTTGCGATGGTTGTAATGTGTGTGCCCAGCCTTAGAGAATGGAGATGTGTTATATGTACTTCTGTAGATTGTTGCCATTACAGCCATTTTACAAATCAATGCTCCGATTCCTGGCTGCTGGATTTGAATAAACTAGAATTCCCCTTTTACTATACGTCTGCATTGTGACAAATCTAATTTCAATGTAAACGTATATGTGACAGAGGAGTGAGATTTACTCTAAGGCCCCATTCACATTGAGCGATTCGCAAATCGCGCGTTTGTCGCATGATTTTCATTTTGCGCGATATCACGCAAATGCTTGCATTGAGCAAGCTAGAATCGAGGCAAAATCCGCTCCAAAAAGGGTCCTGCTGTAGCGACGCATGACCCGCGACAGCGACAGACAGAGCCCCATTGAGATGCATTGGAGAGCGATATCAATAAATCGCTCAGTGTGAATGGGGCCTAATAGCTTGCTATATATTGTGGAGCTCTGCTTTCTTGATTTAGTGAATAAACCATTTATTAGTAAGAAAAATGAACAAAAAAAGAAGCAATTTCTAGTTTATTGACTTAGCTCACAACTTCCAATGATTATCACAATTCTTACTGCGCATGCACCTAGACCTTATCTACAAAATGACCTTCAGAAGAGGCCAGTTAGTTCTAGCTGAGCCTGGTACTTTTTTTTACAGTTTCACAAGCTTATTGCAGAGGTCTCTTTCTGTAGAAAAAGATACAAAATGACAGAAAATGAAGAGTTTCACATTATGTTCTTTTACATGTCTAACACAAAGAATGAAATAAAACACAAACTGGACATTTATCAAGAACGCGGAAACCATCCAGCCGTCTTACTTTTTTTAACCAATATGAGATTTTAAGTTAAAATCTGGTTGCTGTGACTAATATAGATATGTTTCTCTCCACCTGTTTTATATACTGTAGCATCTGAATACATCTTATACTACTAGCAGTAATTTTAGATGCCAAAGCACAAAAGGACTAATAAATAGGAACTGGCTTCTTCTTTATTTGTGTTTTAATCCAATTGACATAGTCTTTGGTGAGGAAGGTGTAGACACTTGGCAATGTACATTCTCCAAAAGAAACAATTCCCCAGAATATTTTCTTGCATATTAAAGGTCCTCCAGAATCACTCTAAAATGTATAAAACAAAAACAAATAACATTAACAAAAACTACTAGACAAAGAAGATATGATTACCAGTGGTGTAGGCAGAACCGTTTTATCACAAGGCAACCTAGGCAGAAGCCTAAAGCCTGATGGATGTGTAAGGGTCCAGCTACAATCTACTGCAATAAACCAGGGGGATAGTATTGTTAGCCAAAGCTGCACACTTCCCTGCCTTTCCACAAAGGAGGATACACTTATAAACAGTTGGTGCCTATTGTAATCCTTATCAATGTCAGTCAAGGGGATGAGGGGTGGGGGGGCAAAGCTTTTACCTTGCGTAGGGACCCATAGTGCCTTAATTAGTCTTAGGGTATAGGAGATTGAACAGTTATATTTGGTGCCTTTTGTTACTCTAAATTGTATACGGAACTATAATTATGAGGATTCATCAATGCATATGTCAGTGGTATTACTATTTCAGGGAACAGAGATCCAAGAACTGACAATGATGAGGGCAGGCAAGAATTTTCTCATTTGCAAAAATAAATTGTCAGATGTCTTCTGGATGTTTTTAGACACCATTTGTATTAAAATGAAAACTGGTTAGGATTAATATATGTTTTGTTAATCATACCTTCTGAGCCCAAGGCATTGCCATTCTATTGTTGGTTGCTTGGTAAGTGTATCTTAAAAGAGAACTATGGGGTAAGTGTTTTTCCCCATAGTTCCCTTAAGTGTCACAGGAGGACATATATTAGTGTGCTCCCATGCCCCAAAGCTCAGTATATCACAAGCTACAGCTCGCGGTATACTGAGACTGCTGCAGCCGGGACGGATCCTGACAATGCTGTCGTGATCCACCCAGCTGCGTGAATGACAGCTGGCTCTGCCTATCTAGAGGCAGAGCCAGCTGTGTCCGCCCCCTCCCCTGTCTGTTCCTCCAGTCAGCGCTGGAGGATCGGATCGCGGAGGGGGGAATCCCTGCAGGGAGTCATTACTTATGTCAGCACTCACTGCAGGGAGATCGAGAAGTGAGTGAGTGACAGAATGCGTTCAGTTTCATTGTCGGCTCGAACTATGAGGATGAGTGATTTTCACTCACCTCATAGTTCTCCTTTAAAGCTGGACTCTGGGATAAGCAGATATTGTCTAATTAGAAGAGTTATATGTATTCTTACTTGCATCTTGGTATGCTTTGTGTATTTCTTCCTGATCTAAGCAGTAATCCAGCATGAAATTGTGCCTCTGTACAGGAGCTCCCTATAATAAAGACCGGTCACTGCTGCTCTCTTTACTTTTTCAGGGTGACTGGTCTTGTATCACTGCCCTCCTGTACTTTTCTGCAGACAACCTATAGAGTGTGGGCCTTCTAGGTTTCTCCCACAGCTCTGCTCTCTGCGCACACTATGTACAGCATAGTGTTGATGTCACCACTATTTTTATAAGGTAATTACTAAGTTTGCAAAGGAATTTTGGTGCACACAACCTTTGTGTTTACTGAGGAATACATTTAAAATAAGTTGTGCCCAGAGTTCATCTTTATATCACAATAACAACTATTCCATACTTACTCTGTTTACATCTTTCTTTTTGCTTGCATCAAAGGTGCACATCATGTTTTTTGTGATCTTTATGGATTTATACATTGCAGCACATTTATCTCTGCTCATTGCTGTAAGGCTGACTTCCATCAGCTTGTCTGACAGTTTCTGAACACCCTTACTGGTTGAACCCCATCCTGCTGTGTCACACAAAGTGCCATCTTGGACATCATTGAATGTATTTGGCAATTGTAGAATTTTCACCGCTTTGTTTAGTTTTGCTTTTCCAGAGAGCTGAAAGAGATTTAAAAAGTCACATTCATTTTATTTTCAAATAATCTTGGGCTCTCATCTGAATGGACAAAGAATATGAGAAGCAAACAAAATCCTATTTAGCGATGAGTAAAATTGGGGGTTTCCTTTTGCCGAAATATGGGCAAAAATTGGGACAATAGAAAGGGTGAACTTTTAAGGAGTGTCATGGTCTTTAAATAGCTCACATGGCTTATGGAAGTGCCTTTAAATTATCCTAGATCTGTTCTTGTGCCAAACACTAACCTTAAACACACCCTCTTAGCAACCAATGGCGTGGCTGATGGTGAAGCTGAATTTCCCCATGCCTCCCTTGTAGGCTAGCTAGTCTGCTATTGGCAATGGAATCCGCCCACAGCAGCAGTTCCCCTAATGGGGAACTAGTTACTCAGTATTCCGATCAGGTTCAGCCCACCCACAGTATAAGTCCATGGATTCTATAGCCAATAGCCAGCCTGCTATTGGCTATGG